TCCAGGACCTCTGTAGAGCTGCAACGCTCATGTCTCATTATGCCAAAGGGGACATTGGGGTTGACAGAGCTATGCTACAATCTGCGTGGCCAGGAATCTTACCCATCTCCACAGGTACTGCTTGGAGTTACCCAATGTGCAATAGATATGAGCCAGGTACTCAAAGAGGAAAAGACAATTATCTGTTCCATAACTGGTGTTCTTCGAGAAGTTGTTCATGTCCATTCCATGACCTGCTCCCCTTCCCCACTCTTGGAATTTCAGGCAAGAAGGAATTGCGGGTGGGGGTAGCCAGCAGCATCCCTTATATCGTGCTGTGTGGGCACCTCTTCAGAGGGCACCAGAGCTGTTCCCCTATGGACACTATTGAGGGGAGAACTTCCAGCACACATACCTAATGTGAAATGGACATGAGCAAGACATCCTGAAGAACTCTAGTTACGAAGCAGGTCTTTTTTTCTTTGTTTGAAAAATGGGAAAAACACAACTGTATTTACTTATGCTTCTGACTTTGCTATCACAGGCATAGTCTGTTATCTGTGTGCTACATGTGACAAATGGCTTTTCCTTCCAACAGTCACATGAAATCTCCACCAAGTAAAGTAAATGTGAACCTTGTTCTCTTCTATCTTTTGTAAACAGTGTTTTATTGAATTAATCACCCATGTTAAGAAGTGAATTTCTGCATTAACGTCTTCCGTAAGAACACAGGCGACGTCACAAAAAATGTAACTCTGGACTTTCCCTGCATTCCAATTATTATTTAAAATAGAAATACTGAGAGAATTCACTTTTTTTTTGGCTGACTAGTGTATCATCTTTGAGTGTTTATTATTACAGAGGGTGTATTCAAGTTATAAGTCTGCCTAAAATCTTGTCTGATTTTTTTCTTCCCTTTGAGAATCATGTAGTGAACTGAATTGTTGTTTTAATTATATTTTGTAGTTCCTTCAATTATACTTTGTTGTGAAATTTTTTAATTGTCATGTTTTATTAAGCAAATATATATCAAGTTGCATTTTAATAATTTACCATATACAGCAATGAATATGAGCTTCCTAAATATCAGAGGAGCAGATGCTTTCTTTGGAGTTTCAGCTGTAATGAAGAGAGGTTAGGGTAGAAAAAAATACAAAGTTTAGTTTTAGCTTTGTTAATGTAAATCATTGGGAAAACATCCAGGAAATGATGTCAGTAACAGCCTGAGAAACAGAAACAGGCTGAATTATGGGCCTGAACTGAAGGAGATACTGATTTGAGTCTCATCAACATGACAATGATAGTTGAAACAAATTATGTGTACAGGGTTATCTGGGTAGTAGATAAGAGGAAGGACATAAAGAACACAGCTCTGTGACACACCCACTAATATTGGGAAAGGAAATCCAAATTCTCTGGGTAAAATCCTAGTCCCATTGATGTGAGTGGAGTTTCCCATAGACTTCAGGATAGCTAGAATTTTACCATTAGTCTCTATGGGTATGTCTGCACTGCAACACTATTTCGAAATAACTAGTGCTAATCTGAAAACACTGTCAAGCTGGAGGACTTCTTACTCGGACTCCTGTAACCCTTGTTATACAAGGAGTAAGGGAAATCAGAGGAAGAGTTCTCTATTTCGAAATAACTGCCTGCTGTGTAGATGCTCCCTATTTCAAAATAAGCTCTTTCAAAGTAAGGTACGCAATTGACGTAGCTCAATTTGCATAGCTTATTTTCAGTTAAGCTCTGCAATGTAGATGCACCCTATGAGCACAAATTAAATAAAGGCCTCATTTCACTTTACTGACATCATATGGTATGGAAGTTTTGAGACGAACAAAATGTGAATGTCTTTATGGTACCATCTATGTTTCATATATTGGGTAGTAGTAGTCCTGTTCAGTGTCTTTCTGCTTTTAATGAATGGCAAACAGGAATTCATTTGGGTTCTAACTTCTTTTTCCCTCAAGATCAGTTGGTTATTGGTATTTTATTTTTAAATACTCTTTTTTAAAAAAATCCTATAGTCTCATCTCAGCTAACTTCAGTGCATTCCCTGGTCCTCTTTCTGTCCCCATCCTTTAATATGCCATAACTCGGGACTGATAAAGAGGGATGTGTTGTGCTCCATATCTAATTTTAAGGAAGTAATTTGAATATAAATTGGGAGTACCAGTGATCTCAGTTGTCACCTATATATGATGAATTAAGTTCAGTATAATTCTGGAATTTGCATTAGCTACTGTTCAGAGTTTTGTTGTTGTTAGGTTTTTGTTTGTTTTTTATTTTGTTCTTTGTTCTTTTGTTGTGGTGGTTCTTTTTTGGCAGTATAGCTTTTGGTCATGCTCTAAAGTGGATTTGGGGCTTGTCTACACAGCAAAATATGTTTGCCATAGTTATTCCACAATACCTCCCTAGGTTGATAGTTTTATTCTGCATAAGAGTGACTTTATACACTTTCGCTGAAGGGCATTACATATACAAGTGGATTAAGATAAAATGCAGAAAGGCACTCTTAATGCAGAACAAAAGTGTCCACATGAAGAATTAGTGCATAGTGACTTGTGTGTTTTAATTCCACACTCTAGCTTATTTTGCAATCACTTCCTCATGAAGACAAACCCTTACTGTAAAAGCTGCACAACAGCTTCTTAGTCCAAATGCAAGCCCTGATACGGGACACAACAGATTTTTCCCAGATGAACAAACCAGAACTTATGAGCTGTTGATGTCTGCAAATAGAGCAGTGTAACAGTGTAGTGCATTTCAAATTGCTGAGTTACCAAAGACTAAAAAGGGGCTTTCCAGGACCTCTTTCACCATCACTGTTCAGATTTAAACTGAGGTTTTTTATGTACCTTACGTAATATAATATCTTCTGCTTCCCCTTATTTTTTAGTCCACCCAACTCCCATGAAAACAACATTTATCCCACTCAGATATAAGGAGAGTAGAAAAGGTACACGAGTAGACAGCCATCTGACATGGAAGGAACATAAATAGGCAGGGGCAGTAGGGCACATATGCGGAGGGAGATGGAAAGAACAAATATATTGAGCAGTGAGGAAGAGTTAGATGGTGTTGCGAGAGCCTGTAGTGCATTGGCAGCTCTGTTTCTGGATCCATAAACTATTTGGCAGTGAGTAGAGCTCCTGAATGTATAAGAACTGCTGCAGAAACATGAGTCACCAAAAGCTGCCACTCTGAGCATTAACCAATGAGGACGAGATGCCATGTACTTGTAACTTTTCATGCATTTACTCACTTAAAACTAAGACAAGATTAAGAATACTATGCAATGTCAGTTCTGTAGAACTAGTCCAAAATCTTGTAACTGTGGTATGTGTTCCAGTGGGTGGGTTCTTCCCCATTGTACTACTGTTAAGCTGGAACAGCAACAGTAGGCAGCAGTCTATCTAGGAATCTGTGTCAGTGAAATAGTATGAGATTGGGGTCATTCATTGCACTGTGTGTCCGTATGACCCTGACATGAAAAGGCTTGTTGTATCCTGCCTCCTTCTGAGAGGTACCCAATCTCATTCTGCTTGTTTGAGTTCCAGCACTAAATACAGGGCAGCTCTCTAACAGTTCATTTAAGATAAACAACCTAAACAAGTGTGAACATTTTACTGGAAAACTCCTAAAAGCTAATAGTTTCAACAGGTGGGCTGTGGGTGGCTGTTTGTTTGGAGTTGCTGGGACCTTGCTTATGAAGTTTTTGACAAACAGCTGCAAGTAGGATGGGACAAAACAGATACTGTAAGTGCAGCAGTACACCAAGAGATTAATCATTCCATTGAATTGAAGCTAGGAAGTTTCCAGCAGGCTGTATTTGACAGGCTCTTGCTAAACTTTCACATGTTGATTTAGATCTTTGCAAAGCACCCGATTGTTCTCCAGAGCTGCAGAGGTACAGTCAAGCATTTTTTTTCTCTTGCTAACATTTTCATCTTCTTTCTCTTCTCCAGGTGTGTGATGTAAAAGCAGTGGGCAGTCCTTGGCCCTCCCCCGCACTATTGTAACGTCATGTGCCAGTATGACTATTAAGGCAGAAACACATACTTCAGTATTCAGCAACCAAAGGAGAAGCTAAACAGGGAGAACAAATGACTGGACTGCTTGCAAAACTTTGGGGAGCTAACTTTTTCTTCTCCTTCTCTGCTATTGTGAAACAGCTGGAAGAACAGAACTGAAGCAGCATTTTTTGTGGATATTTTTTTCTTTTTTTAATTTAATTTTTTCCCTTTGATTTGGATTTCAATCTCTCAAACTGCACTGACCATAAGTACTGGACAGCAATATGTGTCATGTCATTGTAACTTGTCGCTCAATGCTGTGGACACTCCTGAGTATTGTCGTGGCTTTTGCAGAGCTCATAGCTTTCATGAGTGCAGATTGGCTAATTGGCAAAGCCAAGCCGGTGAGCTCTGAGGATGTGGACAACAGGACAGGAGGTTCACAGGAGCCTTACCATCCAACTTTGGGCATCTATGGGCGTTGTACCAGAATCCCCCATATGCAGGTTTCCAGACGAGACACGCTTTGTGGACCCTATGCAGAGAACTTCAATGAGATTGCCAGTGGATTCTGGCAGGCTACCGCTATTTTCCTAGCTGTAGGAATCATGATTCTCTGTGCTGTGGCATTTGTGTCTGTCTTTACAATGTGTGTGCAGAGTGTTATGAAGAAAAGTATCTTTAATGTCTGTGGGCTGCTACAAGGGATTGCAGGTAAGTGTGGTGTGACAGGAACTGAATACTTCTCCAACTATTTTATACATCTCTCTTCTTTATGCCAGTATTTAAGAATTTTAAGTCTTGTTTGAAAAGCTAATCACAGTGCATTGACACTGGCAGGAGGATTAAAGATTGCTCTGTGCCAAGGTGAACAGACCAAAGTTTCCTACGTTGCTGATTGAGTCTTTCTTCTGTTTTGAAAAGTGTTTCAGTAACAAGAACTAATCTCCTTAAGGTTGCTTTGTGTTGTTAGCAAATGCTGGCACCAACACAGTGTCTCTGTCTGTTGCTGCTTTAATGATTTTTCCATTAGCTCTGGAGGCAGTTCTCTTTGTCTGTGTGTTTCACTCTTTGGGGTTGTGATGAGACTAAATCCAAGTTATAGTGCTAAAGTTGCATGCACAGTTCCCCTTGCATTCACTTATACAAGAACACAGTCCGACCCCTGGTGCTCTGTGGACATAAGACCCTTCCTCACACCTCCAGGAGTTCAGCTGCTTTTGAAGAATCCAGTGATTTTACCTTTTCACTGCCTAAGTGACAGTGAATAAACAAACTGAATAAACGAATTGGCTTTTGATGACTTTTCATTTCTGTTTCTTGAGAAAATTTGGTAAGATCTTACTAGGTTTTATTGCATATTTCCTGGTGCTTAGCAAAAATTTTGTTCAGTGAAATCAAAATATGAATGCTAAATTCTTCCCTTTCTAATGGATGTAGCTAGTAGTTCAGGGAGCCTTCATTAATATGTAGTGAAAAAAACCCACTGTCATATAATTATTTTGTATTATACATGCTACTCTGATTATTTCAGGACACAGAATATTCTTCAGATATTACCATAAAGACTTACATGGATCTTCTTGGGAGTCACTAGGTTGGCAGTAGGAAATGGGATATGTAGAAAGGTCTTTCCTTCTCCCTCGAGATTGTGCTCTCAAGCAGATATGTTGAAACCAAAGTACAAAGTGTTTTGTTCAAAAGAAGGTTGGCATTTCAAATTAATTCTTATTTTAAGCAAACCAATTTGGCTGAATCTGGTAGATGCCTCTATAGCCAATCCATGTCCTGTTGGCCAAATGGTAAGAAAAGATGCAAGAGTACATATTTAATTCTTTCTTAAACTAATTATAGTTGGTGCTCAGTTGAGGACTAGCTCATATGCCTAATAGCAGGGTGGGTATATGTAGGGTTGCCAGCTGTCTGGTATTCACCCGGACAGTCTGGTATTTTCGCCTCCTGTCCGGTAAAAAAATTCAGAGAATACCGGACACCTAAAATGTCTGGTATTTTCTGATTTTTTTTTCCCTGCCCAGGAGGTAAAAATGCCAGGCACCTGGCAATCCTACAAACACCCAGCGCCCGGCCTTCCCTCCCCCCCCACCCCAAGTCCTCCCTGGCTCCCAAGCCCCCCAGCCCCTATGCTTACCTGGTTCCGCAAGGCTGACGGCACAAAATGGCTGCTGACCAAGGGGAAGTTCCCCTGGGTCTTAGTGCTCAACCGCTCCCCGTTTTTTTTTGTTTTTGTTTTTTGCTTAATAAGCCTTGGAGTCTCTTTTTTTTCTCCCCTCACCCCCTTTTTTTCTTTCCTTCAACAGAATTTTTTCCTGGTGGTATTTTTTTGAGGGGGGGGGGCGGTGTTCAGTATTTTTGTTTCAACCATCTGGCAACCCTAGGTATATGGGAGTTTTGAGAGTGTAGAAAAAGCCTTCCCTTGGCTGCATGCAAAGGCACCACCAGCTATAAGACTCATGACATTGACTCACAAAAGTGGGGTGAGGAGAGAGTCAGGCCTGGCAGCAGCCAGCAAAGCTACAAGTGCAGTGCACATTGCACAGGGTGGGGTAGCAACCATGGTTCCCTGGCATTCCCTGAAGATCGAGAATAAAGGCCTCATACTTGCTTAGCACTACCCCAGTGTAAGGTGGTGCCCTAAATTGACTCTAGATATACCTGTTTAGAGAGTAGGATTTTTTAAAATAAAAACTTCACCTTTTTGGTCTAACTGTTCTGTTTTGGAAATTCACCATCAGAAATATACAGATCTGAATGTCAGACCTTAGTATCTCATTGTACATTTTAGCTCTTAAACTTCTTAATTGCCACTTATTTCAGAAATTAGCAGATCTACTGTCATTTTGTTGAGCTGATATTCCCTTATTTTTTAAATGAAATGAATATTCATAAAGATTCTAATTTCAAAATTAGTAGGAGACCGGTCTCTTGAAAGACTGTTCCAGACTGTGGACCAGTTCTACTTGCCTCTGAAAAGGGAAAATGAGAAAAAGATTGTATGTTTTATAGTTGAACCAGAATTATGGTCTCAAGAATTGAACTATATGTTGGAAAAAGCATTTTTCATGGGAAGATGTTAGTCATTCTTTTTGAGCAGTACTGTGAATGGAAGCACTTCCTTCTTATAGTGTAGATAAATCCACATAGCATAAACCAGGGTAATTGAAAGGTCATATTATTTAAACTGTTGCGATGAAAAAGGCTCATATAATGATTTGAAGTCAGCCATATTGTGGCTAGTGAGTTATTCTCTCAAGATAATTTTACTGAATTTGTTGCTGCTTTGTGCCAACAGTATTGCTGTATCTGGTTAGCTGAAGATGTTTTTCTGATGACTTGCTGCAGCTGTGAGGTTTAATTTTCTCAATTCCTGATTTTGGAAAACATTTTAACCAAATGGTTGAAGGAGGACAGCTGTCAGCATGGTTGAACTTTATAACAATATTCCCACATCTAGAGTAATGTTGCAGCTATTAAAGCTCATAAAGGACAGTGATGTGTGGTCGTGACCTGTTGTCTTAAGTTTTCTGATCTTTCAGATGTGATTCTGTAAATGAAAAGGGGAGTGTGTGTGTGTGTGTGTGTGTGTGTGAGAGAGAGAGAGAGAGAGAGAGAGAGAGTGGTAGCAATTTTGAAGTACATCTTTCCTTTAAAGATGTGATGCTCTACAGTCTATATCCACAGCACAAGCATTTATAGGAACTAAGGATCTAGCAGACGTAATCACATCTAAAATCTCTGTATCTTTGCTACAAGGACCGAATATAATTAAAAACATTCTGCAAATTAATCTATTCCTGGAATTCATCATGGAAAAAAGTAATAATGGACACCGGATGTATCATTTCTGTCTAGCATCTTAGGTTGTGACCTGTGTGTTGTCTGAGGTGAAATTGTAGATTACAAAAAACGCATTTCTTCTGTTATGGCATTGGTTCAGCTTCTACCCTTGCACAAATGTGTGGTGCTCTTGTTTAGGTCAGTAAGTAAGAACCACATGCATAACCAGTTGACAGAGAGTTTTTTGTGTGTTGTAGACAATCAGAACTATAAAGCTTAATAGAAAAAATCTGCTGCTTCTTTAAAAAGACCCTTCTAAAATCTTGAAATTCCTTTGTAGTTGAGTAAGTCTTTCAGCACTTGCTTTTAAGCCTGCAATTCCTTTTATTGTGGAAATGCAGAAATATGACTAGAAGTCTTAATTTGTAAACATATCATGCCATCAAGAAACAAATCTGTCATCTGCTCCAAAGAGTGGAACCATATCATTAGATAAATAATTATCACCTAGCATCTAAGAGACTGGATAAGCATTCATTTGAATGTCTTTGTGAAGCATGCAATCTGTTTTTAAGGTGACTAAAACACTTGGAATGCTGGGGTAAATGATACAGTGTTTTAAAATACACATATTAATTGATGAGCAAATAATTCAAAGTAGGTTACCATACTAACTGTCAAGTGGTAGGCAACTCATTATCAATAGTCAGTGGGTGTTATGTGCATCTTATCATTTGTTTATTTATTTGCATTATGATAGTACTTAGATGTCCAAATCAGGATTTGGGACCCCATTATGTTAAGCAGTATAGACACCTTTAATGAAAACATAATCCCCACCAAAAGAATTTGCAATTGAAGTAGATTGTGTTACTATAACACCTTCTGATCATGGCATTCTGGTTTGTCTCTTAATCTTGTGTCTTGACTACGAATGGAACTTGTTTAAAAAAGCAAGGCTTTCTACAGTGACATCAGACTTCAATCTGTGGTACAATATTATTTCCTTATGAGACTGCTCATTATAAACCTTTGGTTTTTTTTTAAATATACCTATAAGACTGATTAAAAAACAAAAGTGAAGTCCAGGCTCTAAATAGATAGCAAATAGGCAGCACTGAGTTTGAATGCCAGCCAGATACTGTCCTTCATTTATATGAATTTGGCTGAAACAGTAATCTGCCCTAATGATTTCAAACTGGTTTATGAATGTGTGGGCTGGGACTTGTCAGCAAGGCCTTCAGGGACACCCTAACCACACTGCGGAACAATGAAACTGGATTAGCAGTGTGAATAACTTGACATTGTCTGAACTCTGAAACATCAACAGGCCAGTCTGTGTCCATATAGGGAACAGGACAATGTAATTCTGACAGAGTTTTACAAACAAAATAAAATGATGTTTAATTTGTTACTTCCATTTGAATTATAACTTCCTTTCTTTGCTGAAACATGAATATATTACCACCCAGGCCTATTAAATGGAGGATGTAGCCCACAGGTTCTAAAACCCTTTCATAGTGTGGATTGTGATAGGGATGTAAAATCCCAGTTAATCAGTCAACCAATTAAATGTTACATTGAACCAGTTACCTGCTTGTCCAGGATCCTGCAGGCAGGGTGTGGCTGGGCTGGAGTGCCCCAGGATGTGGCATGGTTCAGTGGGCCCAGTCAGGCTGGAGCAGTCTCCCACTTGTGGCATGGGTAGAGGGCTACTCCAGCCCGGCTGAGCTTGCTGAACTGCGGGCTGCTCCAGCCAGGGCAGGCCAAGCCAAGCCCACAACAGGTGGTGGAGGGCTGCTTGGCCTGAGCCCCCCATGGGCAGGGGCTGCTCTAGCCAAGTTGGGCCCACCACTCCGCTGGCGGAAAGCTTCTGGCTGGGCTGGAGTGCTCTCTGTTTGTGACACAGCGCTATGGGC